ATGTATCCGAGTGTGCTCGAACATAGCAATAACCGTGATCACAGTGACTGGGCCGCTCCCTTCCCTGGCGCATCTCCCGTTTTAATTTTCTCAACCCCCTGTTGAGGAGAAGGAGGCTCAGATGGGCTCAATAACTTGCCCAAGGGCGCAAGCTTCTATGTAAGAGGCCCTGCTGGGATTGAAGAGAGGTCCAATGTAGAGTCTCTCTGTCTCTCTTTGTCTCTCTCTGTCTCTCTCTGTCTCTGTCTCTCTCTCTCTCTCTCTCTCTCTCTCTCTCTCTCTGTCTCTCTCTCTCTCTCGCATGTTGCATGCCAGCAAGCCCACGTGCCGAAGGCCCCCCTCAGACCCCAACTCAGAGCCTAGTTACTCTTGCTTTAGAACCCAGGTGCTGGTTCTCTGGCCCCCAGCAGAACAGTTGCACAAAAGAATCGCTTTGGTTTCGAGGACAAAGTCCATGCAGAGCACCTCAGTGCCTGAGTCACCGCCCTCCACGTCTGGGGCTGGGGCTGCATTTGGACGGGGCAAGTGCCTCGGGGATAGGAGGGCGCAGAGGTGGGCGGCGGGGCAGGCTCCATCGTCAGAAGTGCCCTCAGGACGCGGGGCTCCTCTCCCAGCCCCTCCTCAGGATGCCAGCCCAGGGCCGGTCTACTTCTTGGACCCGAAGGTCACCCGCTTTGGCCGCAGCTGCACCCCTGCCTACTCCATGCAGGGCCGGGGCAAGTGTCGGGGTGAGTATCTGAGCTGTGCAGACACACGAGGACCTGCCTTTCGGGGTCTCGGCAGCCCTTCTGCCCTGTCCTCCCTTTCCCTCTCGTCCTGGAATTCTTAGAACTCCAGAGTCTCTGGAATGATAAAATCCGAGCGACTCAGAGGAGCGGCCACAACTCCAGTGCCCACGGGGCCTGGGAGAACCCGGAGGGGTGAAGTGGGCCAGGATCACGGTGACCCCATGCACATGGGTTCCACAAGGGAAGCTGGCCTCAGTGTCAGGAGACGAGAGGGTGCGGTGGGGACTGTGGCAAACCTCGGCAATCTCCTTCCAGCCTCCCACCAGCTCACTGGCACCCACAGCACTGACTCCACCACTGATTCCAGTCTCCCCTCCACCCCCCCTCTCCCCTTGTGACCTGTTGCCCATCTACTCGTCTATGCACTAACCCATCCATTCGTCCATCTCCCTGCTCACAACCTACCCACCGGTCCACCTGTCCATCATCTAGTTCATGCCTTGATCCATCGATTTATTACTTATCATTCCACTTATCCATCCACTTATCCATCCTTCAACTCGTCCACTGTACCCAGTAGGCCACCAATAGGCCCATCCATGAATCCGTCCATAATCATTTCATCCACCATCCACCCACCCACTCATCCATCCATCCATCCATCCATCTACCCACCATCCACCTATCCTCCATCCATCCATCCATTCTCCTTCCACCCGTCCATCCATCCATGACTCCTTCCTTCCTTCTACCCACCAACTGATCCATCCACTCATCTGTCTGTACATTCACGGATCCTTGCATCTACCCGTTCACTCCTCACTCACTCACCCGTCCTGTTCACCCGCCCACTCAAACATGTATTAAGTCGCCTGCTGGGGAGCTGGAGTGGATTTGACCTTCTTTGTATTTTATGAGAGCTGGTGGTGGAGTGAGACCCAGGTGTGGACCATCCCACCTCAATGTGGTCATGTCTGGAGACAGGAAGACCAGGCCAGGGTACTGCCTGGAAGGATGGCATGGGGAAGGCATGGGATGGGAAGTGGAAGGCCGAGGGTTGAGCTTGGGCACAGTGCTGGAGGTCTGGAAAACTGGAAAACCGTCTGTGTGCACGGAGGATGGGGAGGGAGAGGAAGACCCCAGGGCTGCTGAGAAGCGTCATGAGCTCCAGGATGCACGTGGGCAAGTGGGAGCCATGCCAGGCCTTTGAGCAGGTAAGGACCTTCCTTCCCCACTCTCTCAGGTCCGGAGGTGACACCAGGCCCCGGGGCCTACAGCCCAGAGAAGGCACCTTCCATGCGTCACCGGACAGCCCCAGCTTTCACCCTGGGCTCCCGCCTCCGCCCGAAGCCCCTGGACACCTCGGTCCCTGCCCCCAACGCCTACACCATGCCCCCGCTCTGGGGCTCGCAGATCTTCACCAAGCCCAGCAGCCCCAGCTACACAGTGGTGGGCCGCACACCTCCTGCCCGTCCCCCGCAGGATCCTGCTGAGATACCAGGCCCGGGCCAGTACGACAGCCCACACCCCGACACCTACCGTCAGCGCCAGCCCGCCTTCACCATGCTGGGGCGGCCTCGTGCCCCGCGGCCCCTGCAGGAGACACCCGGCCCCGGCACCCACAGCCCTGAGCAGGTCACTGTGAACAAAGCCAGGGCGCCAGCGTACACCATGGGCATCCGTCACTGCAAACGAGCCTCCACCATGGCCGCCACCACCATGCCTTGATGGCCTGCGGGGACGCAGGCTGCCGGCTGCCCCTCCTGGGCCAAGCCTCAGTTTCCTGAGCTGCAAAAGGGGTGTGGGCGGGCCCCTCCTGGGGCCTGGCTTTGGCTGGAGGGGCTCAGAGGAGCCAGGAGGCCGCTGGGGAAAGGAGCCTTCTTCCTTCCCTTTTTCTGAATGGTCGGAGGTCCTTCTGGGTCACCTGGTTCTTCCAGTCCCTAGGGGCTGTGACCCCGTGGCCCTGTGCAGGGTGCAGGGTGAGTCTCCTTCCAGTGCCCCAGTTTCTTCTCTCCCGGTCATGCCAGGCCAGGCCAGGCAGGGAAAGGGACACCCTCCAGCCCTCCCCAGTAGCTGGCCGGAGACGGAGCTTCCTGTGTCCTAGAACTCGGTGTCCAGCCCCACCAGGGCCTGGGTCCTCATCACAGCTCGAGTTTCTGCCACGCTTGGGTCTTCCCAGTTTCTCATGGAAGTGTGGCTGCCGGGACTGGTCCCAGCCCAAACTCAGGCCGGCAGCAGCCCTAAGGCCCCTGCCCTCCAAACTCCACACCCTAGAGTTGCTTGCCAATAAACCTCTTCTTGGCCCGAGAGCTGTCAGCATCACGCATGCGAGTTCACTTAATGTGTCTATTCACAGTACAGAAAAGAGACCTGAATGCTGCCCTCCAGAGCCGGACCCACAACACTCCAGCCCCCGGGGGTTCTGGATGGGACCAGAGGAGGGACGCAGGGCTGGGGGGAGCCAGGGTTTTGAGGCCAGGTAGCCAGATAGGCTTCCTCAAAGAGGGAACGTTGAAGCTGGGTTTTGAAGGATGTATAGGAGTTTGGTGTGTTCTGTTATCTGTAATAAGTAGGTGCCTACCATGTTCCAGATATTGATAAAGATCATCTAAGCTTCATAGGAACTCAGGAGGCAGGTGATGTTGACAGAAGAAAATGGAGCTCCAGAGAGACCGGACATTTGTCCCAGGGCATGCTATGAGCCCCCATGGCAGTCTGATGCCAGTATTTGACCCCTGGCCATTGGGCTCCGTTCCTGTCACTCTTTCCTGGGGACAGGAAGGAAACATACTGATGGTGTCATGGGACCAGTGGATCGCACCTAGGCCTACACCGTACACATCCAGAGAGACCCTAATCCAGGAACTTGGGAGGGACAGAGGCTGCCACAGGGCCTCCACGGAGGAAGCCCTGCTGGGCCACACGGGTGCCGGTGGGCTCAGCTCTGTCCTCACCCCATTGCCTCGGCCTGGGGCTGCCCAACCTGAACACACTCCCCTTTCCCCGGCCAGGTGGACATGAACCTGGACCCTCCGCACACACCTGGGCACGCACCTGGACCCCCCCCCCATATACCTGGGCCTGCACCCAGGCCCGCACATACTAGGCACAAGACCCAAACCTCACACGGCCCACACGAGCGCAGCCTGCGGTGGAGACCACACAAGTCCAGATGCGGACTCCTGACCAGACAAATGTCACACCCACGCCCTCCACCGCTCCTCTGGGACACACAATAGCCATCACCGCCTGACACTCGCCGCCGCATCCCCGCCGGCCAATGGTGGCCGCGCGCGCCCCCTCCCGCCCCCACCCTCCCGCGGCGCCAGCCGTGATCTCATTTCTCTGATTTATCGATCAGGCTCCAGCAGCCTCGCCCCTCCCTCCCCACCTGCCAGGCCTCCCGGCCCCTCCCTTTGTTTCCCGGCAGTCGGCCCCACCAGGGCCGGGCAGGGCCGGGGAGGGGGGACCGTGACATCCCGTTTCCCGGCGCAGAAGGACCCAACCCTTGAGGCCCGGGCGGGGAGGCCAGTCTCAGAGACGATGAGACTGAAGACAGCGGACCACCGGGCCCAAGAGCTCCGCTGAGCTAATGCCGGACAGGGCTCCCCAGAAATGAAAGAGGGGGGTCCGTGACCCTCCGGCCCCCTCCCCCGGGCTACAGTCTGAGGAGCTGGGGCCCGGGACAAGCAACAGACCCGGTACTCCTGCCTCTGAGCCTCCGCAGTGCGCCCTCGGCACGCCCCTTCCCCTCCCCAGGCCATAGAGTAGGGCATGATCTCGAGGAACCTTCCGGCGGGACCAGTGGAGAGAAAGGGGCTGAGCTTAGGGTTTGGGGTTCTCCCCTTTCCCGGCCGCGCCTCCACCCCTCCCGGGCCTCGGGTTCCCCATCAATCACGGGAAGGAACAGGCGATTTCCAAGCCTCGCCCAGCCCTGCCCTTCTAGGAACTTGGGCGGCGGGTAGGGGTAGAGGGGCGCGAAGTGGGGAGGGTCGCTGACGGGGTCCCGGGTTCGAAACCTCGCTCCCTCCTTGGCTGCCAGTTCCAGGCCCGCGCCCGATGCCCTCCGAGGGCCTCAGTTTCCCCAGCCTCCCGGGCCAGACGCCGAGACAAGGAGGGCCGGGGTCCCAGGGGCGCAGCCCCCCGCGGCTGCGCGCTGGGCCGGGCGGATGACATCACCGGACCGGGGGCGGGGAGGAGCGGGAGGGAGCGGGAGGGCCTCCTCCGCGCCAGGCGCAGCGCCCGGTCGGGCTCGGTCGGGCGGCCGCGGCCATGACGCAGGGTCCCGGCGGGCGCGCGCCCCCCGCGCCCCCCGAGCCCGAGGCGCCCACCACCTTCTGTGCGCTGCTGCCGCGCATGCCACAGTGGAAGTTCGCGGCCCCGGGCAGCTTCCTGAGCCGCGGCCCGGCGGCGGCGCGGGCGGCTGAAGCTGCGGGGGTCGCCGACCCCCAGCTGGAGCCCGCAGGCCCGGCGGGCGTCCCGGCGCTGGCGGCCGCCGTCCTGGGCGCCTGCGAGCCGCGCTGCGCCGCGCCCTGTCCCCTGCCGGCGCTCAGCCGTTGTCGGGCCGCGGGGGCGCGGGGGCCACGGGGCGCGCGGGGGGCGGCCGCGCCCCCAGACGCCGCGGCCGCCGAGTGGATCCGCAAGGGCAGCTTCATCCACAAGCCGGCACACGGCTGGCTGCACCCCGACGCTCGGGTCCTGGGGCCCGGGGTCTCCTACATCGTGCGGGTGAGTGCACCGGCCGGGACCCGCGCGTCCTGTCCTCCCCACTCTCGGGGACTGGGGCTCCTCTCCCCCACTTTTTCTCTGGGGTTCCGAGAGCCTGGAGTCCCCTCCCCAGCTTCCCTCCGGTCCCCACCACCCCAGACCCCCCATCTCCACTCTGCGCTCGGCGGCCGCCCCCACCCCGGAGGCACTGGGGTCTGGGTTCCCACGGCGTCACGTGGGGAGGGGCGGAGAGAGGGCGGCAGGTGGGACAGCGACACGCATGCGCAGGTCGAGCACCCCTCCCCCCATCCCGGTAGGGCGGGGGAGTCCCGGAGTGAGGACGGGGAAGGGGCGTCTGCCGCCCGGAGTCCCCGGGAAAAGCTCCATCGCAGACGACAGAATGGGGACCTGCCAGGACCTTGGCCTGAGACGTGGGCGCGGGAAGGGGTGTTAGGAAAGGGGCCGCGCCCAGACAGACCGCGGGATTCCGGGCGTGGGACTACAGGGGCTTTGAATATGGCTAAAGAAACTGGCCTTTGTTTATTTATCCCGGGTTTTTATTATGAACCTTTTCAAACACAGAAAAACTGGGCGAGTGGATCGCCCGTGTACCTCCACCTAGGTCGGTGAATATTCACCTGTGCTCAGTGTACGTATCCCTATGTACGGTTTTTGGTAAACCATTTGAAAAAAACTACAGGTGTACGAGGCTCACCGTTCAGTACTCCCTCTGGCCTTCCGAGAGAGCTGTTTTCCTACAACTGCAGTTCATTGTTGCACTAGGAAAACGATCCGCGATCTCAAAATGCCGGTTCAGCATCAGGCAGAATTCACATCTCTCCAGCTGGCGCTCTGGGACCAGGGTCCTGGAAGTTTACGTGTTTGCGTTTGGTTGTTATGTCTTTGCGTTTTCTAGAACAGTCCCCCAACACCACTTGTCCCCCTCCCAGTACACGGGGTTGAGTAGTGTCCCTCCAAAATCCATGTGCAAAATCCATGAAGGTGACCTTATTTGGAAATAGCGTCATTGCAGACGTAATCAAGTTAAGGTGAGGCCTTGCTGGACTGGGGAGGGTCCTAATCTGATGGTCACTGTCTTTGTAAGAAGAGGGACATTTGGACACAGACACACAGAGGAGGTGGCCGTGAGAGGGCAGAGGCAGAGACTGGGGTGCTGCAGCCACATGCCAAGGAACACTCCAGACTGCTACGGGCCACCAGAAAGAAGCTGGCTGCAGACACGGCCGGAGCATGGAACCATCTGTGATAATTTTGGACATGCAGGGCCTCAGGCCACACCCGGACCTGCTGAGTCAGAGCCTGCCTCGATTCCCCGGGTCTGTGTAGACTTTGAGGTCCAGGTGTGCCACATTCTGGGTCTGTCTGTTTTCTGGTGGTGCCGTTGGCTTGCTCTTTTGTCCTGTCCTCCTGTGTCCCGTCAGTTTGTTCTCCAGGCTTGACTGGATGCGTTGGTGGACGAATGTTTCACGGAGGGTGCCAGGGGCTTCCTTCACACCACATCCCCCCAGGGCACGTCTCGCCTGGCCATCGGCCATGGACGTGGGATTTGGAAGGTCGAGAATGCAGACGCTAGTGCTGTTAGCATTCAGGATGTCGGGTTATGACAATTGTGATGTTTTCCATCAATGTAGGCCCATGCCTGTCGGGTAGGGACCACGAGTAGAAAGGAGGAAAGATCTGGTCCCTGCTCTCAAGGGATTAGATTCCAGTGGGAGAGGCAGGCGGTAAATAAGAGAACAAACAGGGAAAGAGCAGGGACTGTGGGAGCCCTGCTAAGGTGAAATCGTGTGATGTCACAGCAGGAGACTGGAGTGGTCAGGGGAGGCATCTCAGGAGGTGACGTTTGAACTGAGCCCCAAAGCTGCAGAAGCCACAGACAGGAAACGACTGGAGGGAGAGTTCCAGGCAGGGGAGCCGCAAGTGCAAAGGTCATGGCCCTCGTGGTGCCTTCTGCTGTGGGTCACCACGCACCTGGCTCAGAGCAGCTCAGAGCTGAAGGGACGTTGACTGTCTCTTGGGAGAAAAACCCCCAGGTCAGTGGCTCAGTGACTTACCAGATTCAGGTCATTGCCGTCTGTCCTGGGGTGAACGGTGTCCCCTCATTCATGCCACCCAGAGCCTCAGGATGAGACCTTACTTAGAAATAGGGTCTCTGCGGATGTCACTGGTTGAGATGAGGTCATCCTGGAGTAGGGTGGGCCCTGAGTCAGTGACGAGTGTCCTCGTAAGAAGGCTGAGTGACGACACGCAGGCAGAGATCGGTGCAGCCACGCGCCAAGGGGTGCGGAGGGCCGCCAGCCACCACCAGCACCTGGGAGGGGCAGGAAGGACCCACCCCTGGAGCCTCCGGACAGAGCGTCGCCCTGCCCACACCTTGATCTCGAACTTCTGGCCACCAGACTGGTGAGAGGACGCGTTTCTGCTGTTTTGAGCAGCCTGGTTTGTGGTCATTTGCTGGGGCAGCACAGGAGACTCAGATGCCGGCCTTGGCGCCTCTGCTCTGCCTTGAATCCGCCCCTGTCCTGGCCAAAGACGGCGGCTGTGGTCCTGCAGAACAGAGCCCTCTCTCTCTGTGCCTCTGTGATGGGTGAGGACGCCTTTCCCGGGAAGCCCAGCCAGCTTCCCTCAGGTCCCACTGGCCCGAACTGCCACTGACCTTCCCCAGAGCAGCACTGCCTGGGGGACTTCCGGTGCCTGACTGTCCGGCCGGGCGGCCGTTGCTCACTAGTGGCTACTAGGACTTGAGATGGGGCTTATGCAACCGAGGAGGTAAATTCTTAATTTTACTTAATTTTAAGTTAGATTTAAAGGGCCACACGAGGCAAGTGTCCTCTCCCCCATTCACACCTCATTGGCTGGAAATGGCGAACTCCACTCCTGGCAGGGGGCACCAAACTGGCTGAAACCAGTGATAAGCAGGGTGTGGTCCCCAGGCCAGCAGCACCAGCGACATCTGGGAGCCGGTTGCAGATGCAGGTTCTGGGGCTCCACCCCGCACCTGCTGGCTCGGAGACTCTGGGAGTAGCCCGGAAATCCGTGCCCACCAGGTGATTTGAGGCACGCTCAGGGTTGAGAACCTCCAGCTAACGCCAGTTGTTTGCAGTCCTGCTGGATTAACCACTGCTTATTTACAACAAGCATTTTGTAACCCTCCACACCTGAAATAAAATCCAAATCTATCTATAGCGCCTACCTACACATTGATTCTCCTCAAATCAGTGTGATGTCCCAGCTGTGATGAAAGCAGAAACACAATGACAGCCATTCGTGATAACTTGTTTCAGTGCGTGCGTGTGCAGGCTTTGCTCTCCTAGAAGCGCAGACAGAGCTTGTATCTTCACGGAGTCCTTGATTCATGGGTGACGGCCACAAATGGAGCACGTGCAGGGCGTTACTCCAGCAACTCGGACATCGTGACCTGAGTTGCCGCGTATGAAGTGACTGCTGAAATAGTGGATGACACAAAATAAAGTCTCCTGTCAATTTACATAATAGTTCCATTAAATTCAGTGTGTATTAAAACTATGCCAAGAAGTTAAACATAGAATTACCATAGGACCCAGCGATTTCACTTCTGTGTATGTACTCCAAAGAATTGAAAGCAGGGACTCGAAGAGGTAGTTGCACCCACATGTTCAGAGCAGCCAAAAGGTGGAAGCAGCCCAGGTGTCCGTGGACGGATGACTGGATCAACCCAACGCGGTCCGTCCACACACTGGAATATCACTCAGCCAGGAAAAGGGACGAGGCTCAGACACAGGCTACAGCGTGGATGGACCTTGGGGACATCGTGCTCAGTGAGAGACGCCAGACACAGGACAAATCCTGTGTGATTCCAGTCACGGGAGGTCCCTGGAGTCGTCAGATCCACAGAGACAGGAAGTAGGATGGTGGGTGCCAGGGGCTGGGGAGGGGCTGGGGAGTGAATGTCTCATGGGGACAGAGTGTCGGTTTGGGAAGATGAGAAAGTTCTGGAGAGGGAGGGTGGTGATGGCGGCACAGCAATGTGAATGTGCTAATGCCACTGAGCTGTGCACTTAAAAATAGTTAAAATGTAAATTTTATGTTATGTGTATTTTACCACAATAAAAAAGTAAACAAAAAATGCCCTAATATCTCATGTTATGGGTAAAATGGAGTTAAGCTCAAGGCATGATATTCACAAAGGGCTTTTCCCGTACGTGAAGTCCTTGGGGACAGTGTGGCATCAATGTGAGACTCCCTCTGTTTAGTTTTTGTAGGTTTGAAATTCTATCAAGATGAAAAGTTACCCCAAAACCCACTAGTACATGGAATTCCCACGTATTGGTTGCCTGGATTCACCACCGCCAACGTCTCGCCACGTTGACTGTGTCGTTCTCTCTGTGTAAATTGTTATTATTAGTTATTATTATTGATGAACAATTGAAAAAAAGGTGCAGCCATGAGCCCCTTTCACCCTCAAACGTGTCAGAATATATGTTCTAAGAACAAGGATTCTCCCGTACATAACCGCAGTAAAATGAGCAAAATCAGGAAATTTAGCATTGTTACAATACTGCTACCGAATTTTCAGCCCGTATCCAAATGTAACCGATTTTTCCAATAATGTCCCTTCGGCGCAGCTTTGATTCCCCGTCCCACGTTGCACTTGGCTGTGACAGTCCCTCTGTCTTTCTGTGGGCGGTGCGAGGCTGGCGTTGGTGAAGAGTGTGTGTGTGGGGGTAGCACGGAGGGTGCCGTCCTTCCGGGTCAGCATGTCAGGGGGCCCAGGGTGTCCGGTGCTGGAAACTTTGATCACCTGGGGTCCTGGGGTGAACAGTGTCCCCCCAAATTCATGTTCACCTCAAACTTCAGAATTTGACCTTATTTGGGAAAAGTGCCTTTGCAGGTGGAATTAGTTAAAATGAGGTCGTGCTGGAGTGGGGCGGGCCCTGATCCAGTGGCTGGTGTCCTTACAAGAAGAAGGAAATTTGGGCCCGGCGCGGTGGCTCACACCTGTAATCCTAGCACTCTAGGAGGCTGAGGCGGGAGGATCACTCGAAGTCAGGAGTTGGCAACCAGCCTGAGCAAGAGCAAGACCCTGTCTCTACTAAAAATAGAAATTAGCTGGACAAGTACAAATATATAGAAAAAATTAGCCGGGCATGGTGGCGCATGCCTGTAGTCCCAGCTACTCGGGAGGCTGAGGCAGGAGGATTGCTTGAGCCCAGGAGTTGGAGGCTGCTGTGAGCTAGGCTGATGCCACGGCGCTCTAGCCCGGGCAACACAGAGAGACTCCGTCTAAAAAAAGAAGAGGGAAATTTGGACACAAACACAGAGGACATGGCTGTGTGAAGATGGAGGCAGAGACTGGAGTGACACGGCCAAGGGACGCCTGGAGCTACAGGAGCCGGGGAGGAAGGAGGCTCCCCTGGAGCTCTGGTTGGGAGCAGATCTCAGACTTCTGGGCTCGGGGACTGGAGAGGATGGACCCCTGTTGGTTTAAGCCCCTGAGTTTGTGGCATTTGGTACGGCAGCCCCAGGAAACAAGCTTGCCAAGGTGACATTCTCCCTCGTGAAGGTCCCACTTGTTTCCTTTGTAGTGAGGAGGTATCTGTGGGGACTCGGCAGGCGGAGGGATGACACACTGACAGTGACGCGCACGAGGTCGCAAGTGCCCGGCTCCTGCCTGGCTGCCTTGCTCTGCCGCCCGCGAACCACGCCCAGGCGCGCTGCCCACGGAGGTTGCCACCACCCCAGCCCTGCCCCACGGTTTGGTTTTGTCTGTTCTTGGATGTTGTCAGGACAGGGAGATTTGAGACTGTGCAAATATCCTGGTTCTCAACCAGCTTTCACTGATTTGCTTTAGAAGAAACTTACGATTTTTGCGTGAATGGACACTTTTCATTTTAATAATTTATTGTAACGGTTACTGGGAAAACAGTGGTAGGCATCAAACCAGGGGTTTATAGTGACAATAAGTAGTTTCCCCTTTTTCTCATGCAAAGTTTTAGAAATTGAGATATAATTCACATGCCATAAAATTTATCTGTTTAAACCGAACAATTCAGTGTTTTTAGTATATTCGCAGAGTTGTGCAACCCTCACTGCTATGTAATTCCAGCACATTTTCATCATTGTGGAAGAAGCCCCATCCCATTAAGCCGTCACTTCCAACCCCCTCCCCAGCCCCTGGTGACCACGAATCCACGTCCCGTCTCTGGATCTGCCTGTTCTGGACGTTTCTTATAAATGGAGTCACACTGTGTCCTTCTGTGTCTGGCGTCTCTCACTGAGCACGATGTCCTCAAGGTCCCTCCACGCTGTGGCCTGTGTCAGAGCCTCGTCCCTTTTCGTGGCTGAGTGATGTTCCACTGTGTGGATGGACCATGTTGTGTGTGTCCATCATCCACTGATGGACATTTGAGCTGCTTCTTGCAATTTCCTTTAAAAATAAACTCAGTTATTTTTATAAGTGGAGTTTACTTAAAAGAAAAATATGAAGTATTAATAAATGATATCTATGCAGATACGGCAGAACTCACGGAGGTGGGCGCCAGTGGCTGAAATCAGGGAAAGTGGTGGGGAGGTGGAGGTCGCCTGGGCTGGGAGGGTGGAGCCTGGACCAACCCACACGGTCACTTGTGCACACACCTGTAGCCCACAAGCTGGTGTATCTGTGGGATAAAGTCCTAAAAACAGAGTTGCATAGTCAAAGCATTTGCGTGTTTATCGTTTTTTAAAAGGCTGAGGTACAATTCTCATTAGAAAAATTCAGTGGCATTTAGTACATTCACAGTATTGTGCAACCACCACCTTTATCTAGTTCCAGAACTTTCTCATGACCTCAGTAGGAAACCTATCCCTATCAGCGGTCACTCCCCATCCCCTGCCCCTGCCCCAGCAGGACGCCAGAGTTGGAAGGACATTGTGGCCCTTGCCCCTCCTGCCCCGCAGCACTGAAGCAGGTCCTGGAACTTTGCTGGGTGCTTCTCTGCCCTCTTGTCCCCCAGCACTGTCTCTCTGAGACTGTGAGTGACTTTCCACGGACATGGTCATCTGGACCAGGAGTCAGCAAATTCCTGGTGAAGGGTCAGATGGTGAACGGCTTGTCTTTGTGGGCCAGATAGCCTCTGTCCTTACTGTTTGCCAGCCTGGGCTGGGTGCGGGGGACATGGGAGTGAGCAAAATTGCCACTGCCCCGTGTGCCTTGCCTTAGGTTCCTGTGGAACAGAATGAGACCCTCAAAGAAGCCAGATGGTTAAAGGAACAGACACAGTAGAGCCTGGGAGGAGGGAACCAGGCTCTGGAGAAACAGAATAACAAAAGAAACCCGAGGGTCGGGCAGGTGCAAAGGCCCTGGGGCAACTGGCGGGAGTTGTCAAGGCTTAGAGGAAAGACTTGACCCCAGGGTGGGCGAGGAGGTGAAGGCTCATCCAAGAAGGGTTCTTCTGGGCGGTGCTTCGGACCTGCCTCTGACACCTTGTTCTCTCTTTTCCCTTAGTACATGGGCTGCATCGAGGTCCTCCGCTCCATGCGCTCCCTCGATTTTAACACTCGCACCCAGGTGACCAGGTGAGGCTTCGCAGGGCTGATGTGCAGCGTCGTAAGGGGTGGCAAGAGTGGGCACGGGGACACGTGGCCCACTTGCCGAGTTGGGAGGTGGCTGGGCGGGTGCTGCCCTCGGCCCCGCTCTGGCCCCACTGCATGCATCGCAGTGGCCTGCACACCCCAGACCTCCGTCTTCTGCGGAGTTGTGCTGGCTTCAGGCCCGGGCCGGCAGGTGCTGGCTGCTTCCCTCTGGACCTGGGGGCGGGGGATGGCAGAAGGCACAGGGGCCTCCCGGTGCTCCCAGCTGCCTGGAACAGTCACACAGAGTCCTGGATATGGCCAGGGCTTAAGCAGGAAGGAGACCAACATCTTTTTTCATGTAAAAACTGGCTTATTCCATTCACCATAGGCTTAAAAAACTAGTTTGTATGTGAATATGTGAGATATGATTCACCCATTCCAAGCGTACAATTCGATACTTTTTAGTATTTTCACAGAATTGTGCAACCACCAACCCTATCTAATTCCAGAAGATTTAATCACCCCAAAAACGATATTCTGTCCCCATCAGCAGTCACCTCCCCCCCAGCCCCTGGTGACCACGAGTCCACTTCCCGTCTCTGTGGCTCTGCCTGTTCTGGACGTTTCATGTAAACGGAGTCTCACACTGTGTGTCCGTCTGTGTCTGGCATCTCTCGCTGAGCACGATGTCCTCAAGGTCCCTCCACGCTGTGGCCTGTGTCAGAGCCTCGTTCCTTTTCGTGGCTGAGTGACATTCCACGTGTAGATGGACCACATTGTGTGCGTCCATCATCCGTCCATGGACACTTGGGCCGTTTCCACTTTGTGGGGATTGTTAGGAATCAGGCTGCTCGTGGTTTCTCGGACTGTCTCCTACACTGTTTGGGGTCAGTTCCCGCCACTGCTCAGGACAGAGCTCATCCCTCCTGAGCCGCAGCTGGGCTGACCCAGGATGGGGTCAGGTTCAGGGCCTCCTGCTCCCCGTGTCCAGTTCCCGGATCTGACCCTGCATCTCTGGTGCTGGCTGAGGCCCAGGGACGCCCTGGTCACTGGGAAAGAAAGAGGGTACAGGGGGTGGGGCCCTCTGCATGGTGCAGAATGGGGCTGTCTGTAGGGTGTAAGTGGGTGGGCTGGTGCCAGCTCCCTCCCCTGCCTCTTCCCTCCTCCCCTCCCTAACCCCCACCCTTCTTTGAACTCCCCCCCAGACTCCTTGCCTCTCTGAACCCCCTTCCTCTCCTAGTTCCCATACCCCAACCCCCTCTTGTCTCAGGCTGCCGGCCTCTCTCTGAGCCCCCTGCTCTCCCCAAGCTCCCTGCCTGACCACTCCCCACTTCCAATCCCAGGGAAGCCATCAACCGACTCCATGAGGCCGTGCCCGGTGTCCGGGGCTCCTGGAAGAAGAAGGTGAGTGAGGGGATGTGGTCCCCGAGTGGGGCCGGTAGGTGCAGTCAGAGGCAGTGGGGGGCGCCGTGGCTATCCTGGGAGCCCCCTGCGGGGCTGCATGGCTGGCCCTCTCTGTGCTCACCCACCCCAGGCCCCCAACAAGGCCCTGGCCTCCATCCTGGGCAAGAGCAACCTGCGCTTCGCGGGCATGAGCATCTCCATCAACATCTCCATCGACGGCCTCAACCTCTCCGTGCCTGCCACGCGCCAGGTGGGTGCTGCCGCCGCGGCTCCTCCCTCAGCTCCCCCAGCCCCACAGGACCCCGGCCCCTTGTGGGATGGTCGGGAGTATTTGGACTCACCCCGAGGTGAAGCCAGGAGGGTGGTGGTGGGCGCAGGGCCGCGTGCAGCACCTGGGTGCCTGTGTGGATGTGTTTATCCAGAAATGTGTGCTGAGGCCCCACTGAGAGCTGGGAGCGGAGGGCACCACCGCCACCCTCGTAGAGCTCGGCCCAGGGGCTCCTGCCGAGGGCCATGCCACCCCCACAGTGGTCACAGCCAGGGAGCTCCTGGCGGGGTGGGTGGAGGCCAGGGACGCTGCTCAGCACCCTGCCGTGCCCAGCACAGCCCCACTCAGAGAATGGCCCGGTCACGGATGTCCACAGCACCTGGGGGAGAGACACTGGCTTCCAGTCTTCAGGTGGAAGCAAACACAAAACCGTAATTACAGAGATGAGGGAGTAATTACACCAAGCAGCGCCGTGAGGCCAGGCGAGGGTTGTCCTGAGCACAGGTAGGACACCATGTTCTAGGTGGGACATCAAGGAGGGCTTCTGGGAGGTGGTGAGGAGGAGAGGAGAGGGAATCTCAGGCAGAGGAGGCATGTCTCTGTGGGAGGAGTTAGCACAGACCGCGGTGAGGAGTTTAGGGTCTACCTGGTGGGCACAGTCGTCCTGGCAAGTTTCAGGCTGTGAAGTGATGTGGTCTGATCCGTGCTTGACATTGATCGACAGGGGTCAGTGGAGAATGGTTTTGGGGGTGGTGGCTGTGTCCAGGAGCCCATGGTGGCCCCAGGGTGTGTGGAAAGGTTGCCAGATTCTCGATACATTTAAGAGACAAAACTGACAGCTCTGCCAGTGTGTTCTCTGAGGGCAAAGGAGCGTGCTGGGTGCTGCCGGGTGCCTGGCGGAAGCTGCTGGCGGAGTGGCGTAAGCCCAGGGCAGGCTCGGAGGGAGAACAGGCTGTGGGAGGGCCATCCACATGCTCTGGACCTGTCTGTGTCCCAGGTGCGTGTGGGGCACTGAAACTTCTCATTTCAATCCGTCGGTAGTTGGCTTTCTGGTCTGGGATGGAACGGAGGCCTGGGCCGGGGTTGTATTGGCTGGCGAGGCACACACTGCGTAACAAAACAACCCCAAACCTGCAGCAGCACGACGGCAGTATTCATTCAGCTTGCGCGTCTGTGCGCAGGTTGGCGTCAGCAGATTAGGGCGGGACTTGGCAGGTGGCACTGCCCCTGCCCCAGGCAGCAGCAGCTCCAGCATCTTCCTTCATGGCACCGGCAGAGGGTGTAAGTGGGTGGGCTGGTGCCAGCTGCCTCCCCTGCCTCTTCCCTCCTCCCCTCCCTAACCCCCACCCTTCTTTGAACTCCCCCCCAGACTCCTTGCCTCTCTGAACCCCCTTCCTCTGAGAGGCCCTGGTGGCCCAGCCGCGCCAGGCCCCTGCTCCTGTCTCATGCTACTGAGAGTGTGCGCTGCCCCTTTTGTGGGAGGGGCTGGAAGCCACACGTCACGGGCATGGCTCCCGGGGTGGAAAATTGGGGGCAATAGGCAAGTTAACCCAGGAGCACCCTGGCAGGTGGGATTTGGAGCACTGGGTGTTAGAGGTCTTGGGGAACAGCTTGAGCCGGTGCGGGGCTGGCAGTGGGTGACAAAGAGATGCCCAGCCCCCAGCACCCGACTGTCCGCCTGGTGAGTGAACGGGAATATGGGAGGCTGGGGGCATGGACCTCGCACCCACGTGGCGGCTGGGAGCTCTGCTGGGAGCGAGGTTGCTGAGAGCGTTGGTAGGGTGCCTGGACCTGGACGGGGTGTCCCAGAGGGCCTGCCGAGGCCGCGGTGCTGGTGCCGCGCAAAGAGTAGGACAGACCTGGGCCAGGTCTGGTGGGAGAGCCATGGCCGTGCCGGCGGAGAGGGTGGCGGGGCCACCGTGAGGAGTTGAGGGGGTTGGGGGTGAGCATGGAATCCTGGGGTGTGCTAGGCAGCACCCCGAGGCTGGTGTGGGGGCACACAGGTGGCGAGGGGAAGTCGGGGCTCCAGAGAGGAGGCTGATGGAGCCGGCAGCGAGTGGCTATGGGCCGTGTCTACGCAGTTTCCATCTCTGCATCGTGCTTGCGAAGTGTAGACTAGTCACCCCGACTGACACTGAGGCTCCGAGAGGACCCTCCTCCCTGGGCAAGGGTCGGGAAAGGAGGGAGGCTCCCTGGGGGCTGAGGAGTGGATGTTCCCCGGAAGGGACGGGGGCTCGGCTGGCAGTGGGGGCACCTGATGTGCTGCCGGGTCCTGTAGGGACATCAGCGAGGGGCAGTAAAGGAGGTGGGACCAAGCAAAGTATGCAAATGTGCATGCAGATGAGCCCACAGGGGCCACTGACAGGTGGGCGAGGGAGGCAGGAGTGTGGGTGGGCCCCTCTGTGGCTGCTTGGGGGCTGTATGATGGAGGGTGCCTGCTCATGTGTCCGTGTGAGCGTCGGGGTGGGTGCATGTCGAGGGTGTCCACGGTGGGGTGGCTTCTCTCTCATATGGCCATGTGACCTCAGGTGGAGCCCGCACACTTCTCAGGGCCCTGTCCTGTCCCGCTGGGGCCCCACATCCAGCCAGACTCCTTCCTGGTCGTCTGGGCTGACACCGGGCCTGCTGCCATGGCGCCAGTCAGGGGACATGTCCCTCCCCACATCCCACACCCCTCGTCCCCTCCCTGTGGCCCTGGGCAGCTGTGGCCTTGACCGCGTGTGTCCCACCACACAGGTCATCGCCAGCCACCACATGCCGTCCATCTCCTTCGCGTCCGGCGGTGACACGGTAAGGCCAGGGGCGGGGCGGGTAGATTCGCAGCCTCTATCCCCCAGACCCCGCCTGCGGTACCCTCTGCCCATGCCCGAGGCCCCGTCCCCCTGCATTGCTGGTGGGGGTGGCTGGGAGTCCGGACAGGCGGCCCAGGCGGGTCCAGCGGGGCCCCCGCCCCCTCTCCCCCCAGGACATGACGGATTACGTGGCCTACGTCGCCAAGGACCCCGTCAACCAGAGAGGTGAGGCCCCTGGGCAGGCCGGGGGGGCCCTGTGGCTGGGGGGAGCAAGCCACGCGATGCCGCCTGACCCCCCCTCCAGCCTGCCACATCCTGGAGTGCTGTGAGGGCCTCGCGCAGAGCGTCATCAGCACCGTTGGCCAAGCCTTCGAGCTGCGCTTCAAGCAGTACCTGCACAGCCCCCCCACGGCCGTCGTGCCCCCGGACAGGTAACCAGGCCTGGGCACCTGGGCCCCTGCCTAACCCTAACCCTAAGCTGCACAGCGCCCCCACGCGGTTGTGCCCCCGGACAGGTAACCAGACTGGCCCCTCCATCTCCAAGAGACAGACCCTGGCCCCCACCCCCACCAGCCCTGCCCAAGGCAGAGCCTGGCTCCATCTGCTCCAGGCCCGGGTGTCAGTCTCAAGTCCCTGCTCCCTGTGGGCCCCCGAGAACATCACTCCACCAGAGGATCCGTTTCTTCATCTGTAAAACTGGGATGAAAGCAACCCCCACCTCCCAGGACAGGGGGCCCTAACCCTAACCCTGCCCCTCCCAAGCCGTGTTGCGGACGTCTCCCTCTGGCCACAGAAAATGGGTAAATAACTGATGTGGCTGGGTGCTGATAAAACTTTATTTATAAACACGGAAATTTGAACTTCATGTAACTTTCACAGGTTGCAAAATACTATTCTTTGGATGTTTATTTATAGTTTAAAAGCGTAAAAGCCATTCTTAGCTCGTGGCTGGATTTGACCCCCCTGCTCCAGAGAAAGAGCTATTTAAGTATCTGTTAAGTGTCAGAAATCCAAGCTGTGCCCACGAGCAGAAGTTCAAACGGTAAGAACTCGCGTGTGGACAGTGTGAGCCTCGTCCCTGCTGCCCACCCAGGGGAGGCGGTGCCAGGCCCTTTACACAGGTGCACGGCGCGCCCACCTGCTGCAGCTGGGACGCTGCTCCTCCCTGCGTTGCTCTCAGGAACCACGCTTGCCTGAGGGAGCACCCACAGGAGAAATTTCTACAAGGGCCATTGCAGGTCCAGAGAGGGCGACAGTGTTGCTCCCACCCCAACCCCAGGACAGCCTGGTTCTGGCTGTAAACTGGGTTTCACGCCCTTGGCCGCCCGGCGGGGTGGAAGTGGGCAGAAAGGAGTGCAGAGTAGCTTAACTGAGGACCTGCTGTTAATTTGTGCAAAAGCTCTGAAAAGTGTGCACTATCCCATTTTACAGATGAGGAAATAGAGGACCCCGTTGCTGGTTTAAGCAGCATTTCCTGGCGAGAACACTCGGTTGATAGGTGGGGGGTGGGGTGGAGATTCGAACTCAAGTCTTCTCCTCTCGGAAGCTCATGCACAGGCCCCAGTGCCCCCCGGAGAGCTCTGGGCTCTTCTTGTCCCGCCCCAGCCCCGGTGCTGGGCCTCCCTGTGCTACCGGCACTGCTGTCTGTCCCCAGGCTGACTGGGCAGGAGGAGTCGGCTTGGGGGGATGAGGACGAGGCCTCGGAACACAATTACTACAACAGCATCCCTGGCAAGGAGCCGCCGCTGGGCGGGCTGGTGGACTCCAGGCTGGCGCTGACGCAGCCCTGTGCCCTCGGGGCCCTCGGCCAGGTCAGCTTTGCCACCCTCGTGGGGGGACGCGTCCAGTGGCTGGTCCCTGGGGCCTCACCCCCGGCTTGCCTGCTGCTGCGGCTCTCCCTGAGCTATAGGAGGGTCCCCGCTCCCACCCCTGGTCCGTCACTCACAGAGACTCACAGATGGGCTCCATCTGCCTGCTGGGCCCATACTGGACACGGTTGACAGCGGTAGCATTTCAGACACGATTCCCACCCTCAGACATCCAGTAAGCACTTACAGCAGTGCTTTGATCGTGGCCAGGAAAGGGACTACCGTGGAAGTAACGAGAATGTCCGACAGGGAGCTGGCTCTGCAGGGTGCCCCGGGGGGGGGGCAGTGCAGGGAAGGGCATCCAGGCAGAGGGAACAGGGTGTGCAAGACGGCAGGAGGGTGCCGACTGCCTTCTGGAGGGACAAGGAGGCAGAGGAGGCTGCCCAAGGGGGGCAAAACCTCAGGCAGCTTGAGAGCCAGGGAGCCCCCGCCTCCGTTGCAGGTCTCCAGGAGGACTGGGGTGGGAGATTGGGGGTGCTGGACCAGGAGGAGGGGTTTGCATGTACCAAGGGGACCTCACGCTGCTCTTTTTCCAGGGCGCGTCTCCTGCTCAGAGAGATGCCTGCAGCCTGCCGTGGGACCTGGGGCCCGTGGGTACAGGTGGGCTTGGGGCCCCTGCGTCTCCTCCCCACCACCTCCCCTCGCACTTTCCCCTCTGCTTTCCTTCACGTTCACCAACGAGCCTGTGTGTGCTCTGCGCACTCTGCAGGGTCTTGTTCTGTGGCTCAGGCTGCAGTGCAGTGGCGTCAGCCTAGCTCACAGCAGCCTCCAACTCCTGGGCTCAAGCGATCCTCCTGCCTTAGCCTCCCGAGTAGCTGGGAGTACAGGTGTGTCACCACGCCTGGGCAATTTTTCTGTTTTTAGTAGAGACGGGGTCTCGCTCTTTCTCAGGCTGGTCTCAAACTCCTGGGCTCAAGCAATTCTCCTGCCTCAGCCTCCGAGTAGCTGGGACTGCAGGTGCTGCTACCGTGCCAGGCTTGGCAGCTGGCTCTCATGTCCTGTTGCACAGCCGGGAGGCACCACGCTGTGGGCATTGTTCCCTTGATCCCTCTGGGGTTCCCACTGTGTCGGTGCCTCTTGCACAGCCAGGTGCTGTCCCCACCCCTGCAGTCTGGTTACCTCTGTAGTCCCCTCTTAACGGGCGCTTAGGACCCTTCCAGCTTCCTGCCACATAGGGCCACTGCTACCCAACGCAGCGGCAGAGCCCCTGAAGCCCCCTCAAGCCTCGGAACTGCTGGGTTGCAGCACTGACCTTGGCCACGTGACTGGGGGCTGCTAATCCGCTCTCTGAGGTGGCCGTGCTGGCTGCTGCTCCCACCAGCTCCGCCTGCGGCTGCCTGTTTCCTAACAGCCTTGCTAACATCTGTGTTGAGCTTTTTTTAGACGTGCCCAAACAATCTGGGCATTTCACTGCCAAGCCTCAGAGCCGCCACTGGCTCTCGATGCCTGTGGTTAAAGAAAGCCCGGCCATCGAGTGCCCCCCAGGCACCAAGCTGCAGTCTGGTCCTGCTGCTTCTGCTCCGGGATGGTGGCTGCTCCCGCAACCCCAGGGCTCACCAGTGTGTCCTGTTCTCACTTCCCGTCATGCCTTTCCCGATTCTCTGGCCAAGAACTCCTACCGACACATCAGTGCCCCAGCTCCAATGTCCGGGAACCCCTGCTCCCATCTGCCCCATGCAGTGTCTTCTCGCCCACTCCGACTCCTGCAGCAGGTTCCTGACCACAGGAGGCTGAGAGAATCTGCGCCCCTCCCGCAGGCTGGGAAGGCCGGGCTGAACCACCGGCCCCCATCAGCCGCCAGGGCTGGTGCAGTATTAGCATCCGTGTGGGGTCACACCCTTTGCCAGGACAGAGGCCATCTGGTCAGGACCCAGCAGAATCGGGATGTGGCGTCGGGTGGACCTGGGCACGATTCCTCCACTGGTGCCTCGTAATGCAGCTGTGGCTTTTGAGCCGTGTCACTGTTTTACATATTCAAAAATAACATTAAAAAAAGAGAAAAGAAGGCAAACCTAAAATAGAACAGAGATAGAAGAAATGACCCAACCACGCATCATGTTGATCACATAATTACAGGGAGAGCAGAGCTATTGTTATTATTTTTTAAACGTGGAGATTTCACATAAGCAGTAGGAAGCTCTGGCCCCGCGGCCACCTTCCTGCCTGGGTGTCGGGGTCTGGTGCCCGCAGCCCCCAACCCACGCGCTGTCCGCCGTGTCCCCGGCTGGGGCGCTGTGGGGCGACTCATGCCTGGTGTGAGACACGCCACATGGTGTGCAGGGGGGCCTGCCACCGCGGGGCCAGCGTGGCTCCCCCGTGGACCCCACGCCCCTCCTTGTCCCTCACAGCCCCGCCGGGGGATGGCTACGTGCAGGCGGATGCGAGGGGCCCCCGGGTCTACGAGGGACACCTGTATGTCAACACCCAGGGTCTGGACGCCCCGGAGCCCGAGGACAGCCCCAAGAAGGACCTGTTCGACATGCGTACGTGGGGCAGGCCAGCCGTGGGGCCTCGCCATGCAACCCCGTGGTCTCCCTGTGGGATCCCCAGTCTGAGGGCAGAGGCACAACCTTCTCCCCGCGTCGCAGGGGCTGGGGGAGCCCAGCCTGTTCTGGTGGGAGGCCCTGTCTGCGGGGGGCGTCTGGCTGAGCACCCTCGTCTGACCGGGGTGGTCCCTACGCAGTACTCTCCACGGGGCTCTGCGCAGGCCCTCCTGTGGGACCCTCCCGGGGCGGGGATCCCCAAACGTCTTCCTTCACGACATTTGCAAAGCTCCCTCCCCCACACCTGGCAGTGCGACTTCTCCTTATTGCAGTAATGACGGCAGCTAGTGCCTATTGAGCGCCTACTGTGTACCAGGCAAGGGGCTGAGAGCTGGGCCCTCTGGTGCCTCACAGCGATCCTCAGATGGGAAAGGAGGGCTGGGGTGTACTTCTGGGGCAGGCCGTCCCCCTCAGGTGGCCAGACAGCCCAGCGGCCCCCGAGGAGGAAGAGTCACTTCCTGCCTGTCCCCCGTTGAAGTCCCTGAAGCAGCTGCTGCCTGGGAGGGCGAGAGGAGCCGCTGGGCCGGCCTGGCTGCCTGGGCTCAGCCTGCATCAGGAGGGAGGGTCCCGGGAGGCCCAGAGCTGAAGGAGGCCCCCAAGCCAGGGCCAGGGGTCTGGCACTTGGGGCGTCTGAACTGCCTCCAGAAATGCCCCATTTTACAATGAGGGCACCGAGGCTCACAGGGGCAGTGGCCTGTCCCCTGTCACGGGGGCACCGCTGGGAGCCTTAGAAAGCCCACGACAGAGCGAGGACGGCATCACTGCTGGGGTTAGGACGAGAAAGCAGTGCCTGCCGTCCCCACGGTGTGTAGGGCTGTCCTGGAGGTCTTGGCCAATGCGATAAAACAAGATAATGGAGCCAGAGGCCAATATAACAAGACAAGAAAAAAATAGATGCATAAACGTTGGAAAGAAAGAAATGCTGTCATCCTTTGTACGTACTTAGAAAACCCAAGACTACCTTGAATAATGATATGAACCGGTAAGACCATGAAGCAAGGTGCCGGTGCCAGGCCGAGGGTGAGCGCACAGCATGACCCGAGGCCGAGCTTAGTGCAAGGCCTGGCGCACAGTAGGTGCACAGTCAGGGTGGGTCGGACCGTTCACGAGTCACTGCCCCGTTCCTCCTGCCCACTCCTCCCTCCCCACCAGGCTCCCGTCCTGCCCCCGCCCCACGCTCCTGTCCTCGCCTGCAGGACCCTTCGAGGACGCCCTGAAGTTGCACGAGTGCTCAGTGGCAGCTGGCACGACGGCAGCCCCTCTTCCCTTGGAGGACCAGTGGCCCAGCCCCCCCACCCGCCGGGCCCCTGTGGCCCCCACGGAGGAGCAGCTGCGGCAGGAGCCCTGGTACCACGGCCGGATGAGCCGGCGGGCGGCGGAGAGGCTGCTTCGAGCTGATGGGGACTTCCTCGTGCGCGACAGCGTTACCAACCCTGGGCAGTATGTGCTCACGGGCATGCACGCCGGGCAGCCGAAGCACCTGCTGCTGGTGGACCCCGAGGGCGTGGTAAGGTGGGCACAAGTGGGTGGGGGACCTCGGGGTTGATGAAGCATTTTGCAGATGACAAAGCCTTCTGCGTGTACAGACCCTGTCCCCTTGACCGGGGGAATTACATCACAAAGCATTTTCCTGCTTAAGAAGAGTTTTAGGGTTTACAAAGGATTTCCCAGTCTGTAAGGCATTTTGAGGTTTACAAAACATTTTCCAATTTCAAGGTCTTTCAGGGCTTACAAAATACCATATTTCATCCATCGTGAGACGCGCTTTCCCTCTCGCAGTTACCACTAATGCATCTTGCAAACAGTGCTGTATTTGAGGGATAAACACGGTGTTTTCAGTTTCTGATGTGTTTTAGGGTTTACAAACCATGTTTCAATTTAAAGGAGTTTTAAGGTCTTCCAGTTACCGAATTGCTTCAATTCTGAGACGTACACCTCCCCATGGACATCTCCGAAATCTGGACTTCTTTTTAAACCACCAATTGCATTTTTTTTTTTTTTTTTTTTAGACAGGGTCTCCCTGTGTTTCCTGAGCTAGAGTGCCGTGATGTCAGCCTAGCTCACAGCAACCTCAGACTCCTGGGCTCAAGCAATCCTCCTGCCTCAGCCTGCCGAGTAGCTGGGACTACAGGCATGTGCCACCATGCCCGGCTAATTTTTTCAACATATTTTTAATTGTCTGATTAATTTCTTTCTGTTTTTAGTACAGACGGGGTCCCGCTCTTGCTCAGGCTGGTTTTGAACTCCTGAGCTCAAACAATCCACCTGCCTCAGCCTCCCAGAGAGCTAGGATTACAGGCGTGAGCCACCGCACCCGGCCTCGCCAATTGCATTTTTGAACTGCATCATTATTTGATAGGGAGGTTTTTCTCCCCTCTGCCCTCCTGGTACATGCAATAGCAGTGCGTCTTACCGTTGCTTTGAGCCAATGAGATTTAGTAATTGCCAGTTTCTGAAGTGTTTTAGGGTTTACAAAGCATTTTCCAATTTACAAGGAGTTCCTGGGTTTATGAAACATTTCCGAGCGTCCAAGGGCCTTACGCTCCCCGGATTATTTCCCAGGTGGGCACGTGCTTGGGGCTTGGAGCTTTCTCAGAGTTTACAAAATGCTTTTCTGCCTCAGAGCAACTGAATCCTCCGAACGAAGTTCAGGTGCCTGCGCGTTGTCTGTGTGTGAAGCACACCCAGGCCCGGCCTGGCCCAGGCGCTGCCGCCGGGGAGGCTGTCGTTCTCCTCGCTGCCACCATCTCTGCCCCGTTTCAGGTCTCCCTGCCCAACCTCTGGCCCGGCGTGCGAGGTATCCGTTCTTCCCTGGGCCGGATTCCCTCTCCGTTAATCGGACCCCTGGGATTAGATCGGTGGCTCCCACAGCCCTCCCACCACTACGGTGTTAAAGTGCAGATTCCCAGGTCCCCAGTGCCATGGAGATAGGCGGTTTACCTCGGGGCCTAGCAAGGTGCACTTCACCCTGTTCCCCCGTGGCACGTGCCCAGTGGGTCCGGCATCATCACGAGATGCTTGGCAGCCGTGGGACATGGCGTCTCTCCGTGTTGCACCCAGTTCTGGCGCTCAGGGATGCTGAGAGGTTCTCATTCCAAGATGCTGCCGGCTTTTGGATTTGGTGATTCTGGTTTTGGGGTCTACCTCTCCAGGATTTCGGGGTGTGTTTGTTTCCCAGGGGTGCGCTACCAAAGGGCCACAAACGAGGTGGCTTAAAACAGCAGAGATTCAGTCTCTCCCAGTTCTGGAGGCCAGAAGTCCAAAATCAAGGTGTAGGCGGGGCTGGTTCCTCCTGGAGGCCCTGAGGGAGGATCTGTCCCAGGCCCCTCTCCAGCCTCTGGTGGTGGCCTGGGGTCCTTGGTGTTTCTTGGCTTGTGACAACACTGCTCCAGTCTCTGCCTTTGCCTTTGCATGGCCTCCTCCCCACGTGTCTCCATGTTTAAATTTCTCTCTTCCTGTAAGGACACCACCTGGGTAATCCAAGATGCTGTCATCTTGAGATCCTTAACTTGATGACACCTTCAAAGACATTTATTCTAAATAAGGTCACGTTCACAGGCTCTGGGGGTCAAGACCTGGACTTAGCTTTCTGGAGGCCCCATCCTGGTAGTTCTGAGCCTGTGTCCGTCCAAGCTTCTGGAACCCTCTGACGCAGCGGCTCTCGGACTTGGGTATGCGTCAGAAGCACCTGGAGAGCTTGTCGACACGCATTTCCAAGTCAGCGGGTGCCGGGGGGGTTCGAGCATTTGCCTCTCGGACGAGCTGGTGATGCTGAGTCTTGGCTGTGCAGGTGCGGACGAAGGACGTGCTGTTCGAGAGCATCAGCCACCTGATTGACTACCACCTGCAGAACGGGCAGCCCATCGTGGCCGCCGAGAGCGAGCTGCACCTGCGCGGCGTGGTGACGCGGGAGCCCTGAGCGAGGTGTGTAGCGGCCCCCTCGGGCTCCTCGCATGTGCCCACTTGCCAGGTTCTTTCCTCATTTTAAAAATCGAGACGCGATTCACATATCACGTAGTCCACTCATCCAGAAAGTACAATGCAGTGGCGTTTAGCACCTTCACAATGTGCAACCACCAGCTCTGTCTGATTCCAGAGCACTCCACCACCCCGAAAGGAAGCCCGTCCCCATCAGCAGTCACTCCCCACCCCTACCCCAGCCCCTGGCGACCACGAATCCACGCCCCGTCTCTGTGGATCTGCCTGTTCTGGACGTTTCATGTAAACGGAGTCTCACACTGTGTGTCCGTCTGTGTCTGGCGTCTCTCGCTGAGCACGATGTCCTCAAGGTCCCTCCACGCTGTGGCCTGTGTCAGAGCCTCGTTCCTGTTCGTGGCTGAGTGATGTCCCAGTGTGTGGATGGACCACACTGTGGTTGTCCATTCATCCGTCCACGGACACTCGGGTTGTTTCCACTTTCTGGCTATTTTGAATCACGCTGCCCTGCACGTGCGTGTGCAGATGTCTGTGTGGACACGTGCTCTCACTGTGCCTGGGGGGGCACATGCCTCAGAGTGGAACTGCTGGGCGCTCGGGGTGACTCTGATTAACTGGCGATGAAATCCCCTGACCTTCATGGACCCCCGCTGCTGGGTGCTGGGCCTTCCTTCCCAGAGGAGGCGGCGTCGGCGACCCTGGAGGAGGGCTGGGCATCGCTGGAGAGGGCGGGTGGCCCTGGAGCAGGCAGGGCTGGTGTGTGAGCCATGGCAGAGGAGAGATTTTAGTGCTGGGGAGGGACAGGCAGGTCTGAGTGATGGCAGGATCTCTGGGGCCCAGAAATAACACCGACGGCAGTGATGATACCGCTGGCACAGGCATGTGCGCAGCCCTTCGGTTCTGAGACAGGCGCTGGGATTAGCCTGCTGGCTTCGTTTGCAGGGGAGGAAACAGCACAGGGAGGTTGCGGCATTGCCCTGGATCACACAGCAAGAGCAGGGGAGGCCTGGACCGGAGCTCTGGCTGCTCCACCCCGGGGCTGTGCTGCCCGAAACCGAGGTTTGGAGCTCGTGGAGATTACAGCCCACTGGTTCCAAGGAGGCAGAAGAGTGGTGTGGCCCACACTGGAACCCAGGGCCCTGGCCGCTGCCTCGGCCCTGACTGCGGCCCCTTTCTGCCCGCAGGTGATGTTCCCAGCCCAGGCTCCTGCTGTGCCGCAGCCTTGCAGCTCTCAGCCCTTCTCTCAGGCCCTGGTCAGGCTGGAACCGCCGCTGTCTCTCCTTCCTCCGCATGAGCCTCTGGAATCTTCCTTCCTCCAGCTGGCCCTGGGCTGGGCAGGGCAGGCTGGGATTTTGGGGGCCCAGGAGCCCTCCTCCCGCTGGAGCCCCGGCCACCCACCCTCTGCCTGGAGTGAGGGTGCACATGCCAAAGACAGAGCCTCTTCTCGCCATTGCAGAACACAGAGCAGAGCAGCCACCGCGCCGGAGCCCCGGCCTCTGTCTCGTCCCAGGCTGGACCGAGGCTGTAGCCCTGGAGCGTGAGGGTTCCCAGTTCCCTGCTGTGGAAACCAATTCCTGTCCCAGCTGGGCTCACTTTTCCCACCCGAGAAACTTGGGTGCACAGTTGTCTTTCTGGGGGGAGAATTAAGGTGCTTTGGGGCTCCCAGGCCAGGGCAGACTCTGAGGTGGGGCAGCCTTGGGCTCACCCAGGATGATGGGGCAGCTGGGCCGCTCAAGACGCTGACACGGGGGCAGCCGTGAGCAGGAGGAAGGACGTGGCTGCCCGCCTGGGCTGTGCCCCCCAGCTGTCGACCTGGACCGGACATTTGAATCTGTTTGTAATTAAACTTGGGAGTGACCACAGGAGCGTGAGCCCACCTGCACGCTGAGGGGCCCTCTCAGGGCTGGGGCCGGGATGAGTCTCCCAGGAGGGGTTTGCGGGACCCTGATTTGGCCTCCCCGGGGGCCTGGACGGGAGAGAGGGAGGTGTGCGGCCCCTATCCCCGGAAGCCCCTACTTCCCTCAGACGCCGCTATCCGATCCCGAGATGAAGCACACATCAGCCCCCTGCTAAACACATCCCAGCCTCACTTTGGAGACACCCTCGTTTATCTCCCGAGTGCACAAACCGCTCTTCCCAGACACCCACCATATCTGACAAACGCTTGTTTTCTTCCCCAAGATGCCTGGAACCGGCCCCTGAGCGCGGCTCCCTCAGTCTCCCTGCGTCCCGTTCCTTTGTCGGGACATCACTCAGTGCCCCCACTTCCTCCCACGCCCAGCTTCACTTGCGAGCCCCCCAACTTCTATTCCTTAGACCTGCCTTCGTGTTGCTTCTGAGCCTCTGCCTCCCAGAGACCCCAAGTTCTCCCCAGGACCCTCCCCGACTCCTCCCACAAACACGGCAGCATCTCTCCCAAGAGGTGCCCCTGCCTGCCAGGTCCTGCCTGCCACATCCCGCCAGCCACATCTGCCCAGGCTGAGGGCAGAAGTGCCCAGGTCTGGGTCTCTAGGGGCAGGGTGTTGTCTGAAGTCAGTGGGCCCTCCCCATGCCCCTGGGGACATGTCTGGAAAGGGTGTAGGGAGTAGAACTACTCTGGTCTGCCCTTACCTAGGACAGAGCCTTCAGAAGGCAGGGTTGGAAGGGGACTTTGATGACATGTCTCTTATTTCAGAGACATGGAGACTGACAGCCACCCACCCATCCATCCATCCATCCATTCATCCATACATCCACCCATCCATCCACCATCCATCCATCCATCTATCCATCCATTCATCCCTCCATCTACTCATCCACCCATCCATTCATCCATCTACCCAACCATCCATCCATTCACCCATCCATTCTTCCATCCATTCATCCATCCATCCACTAATCCACCCATCCACCCATCTAGCCATCCACCCACCCATCCATCCATCCACTCATCCATCCATCCACTCATCCACACATCCATCCATTCATTCATCCATCCACCCAACCATCCATTCATCTACCCATCTGTCCATCCACCCAACCATCCATCCATCTACTTATTCATCCATCCACCCATCTATCCATCCATTAACTCATCCATCCACCCATCTATCCATCCATCCATCCATCCATCCATTCATCCATCCACCCATCCATCCATCCACCCATCCATCCATCCACCCAACCATCCATCCATCTACTTATTCATCCACCCATCCATTCATCCATCTACCCAACCACCCATCCATCCATCCATCCATCCATCCATCCAGCCATCCACCCATCCAGCCATCCACCCATCCATCCATCTACCCATCTACCCACCCCCACACCCCCAGCACCTTTAGGATGCCTGCATTGGGCACCTCTTATCTGCCAGGACCTCTGGTGGGTAGCTGGGATGCAACAGTGACCATGACAGACCTACTGTTGTGGAGTTAACAGTCAAGTGATATTAATCGGCAAATCACCACTAAATGTATGACAGCTGTGAAAAGTCGAGTGCTGGAGCTTAGCAATCCCAGGAAATCTGGGAGAGTTTCTTTGTGGGAATGACACAGGGGCTGTAGTAATCAGAGGATGGGCCCCAGGTAAAGAGGGAAGAGTTCTGGGCAGAGCAGATGGCATGTGCAAAGGCCCTGTGGTGTGTGGCGCCCAGCACACTCAGGGAGCAGAAGTAGCCCAGTGTGGTCAGGTGAGATCAGAGCAGAGCGGGGGTGAAGCTCCATGTCAGGGAGAGCTGGCAGGGCCACAGAGGTGATGCGTGTGCATTCATAGTGAGATGAGATTACGCTACTGGGGACAGGACAGGAATGGGGAGGGGTGAGGGGAGGCCCTGGGCCAGGTCAGTGTGGAGAAGTATCAGATTCCAGAAATTCTGGGCCAGAGAGGTGTCTCAATGCACTTCCTTCATTCACGAATTCACAGCTCTGGGTCCTCCAAGGCCCAGGCTCCCCCCGTGCTCTGTCCTCTTTGGAGCCCCTGTTTACCTGGCACTCTGCTGGGACGTGGGCTAAGACCCGCATGAACACAGGGTGGTCAGATTCTCCCCGTGTTATATGTGAGGAAACAGAGGCTTACAGAGAGGAAGTGATTTGCCTGAGACCACACCACCGGGAGGTGGCTGAGCTGAGATCCGAGCCCATTGTCCCCTTTAAAGCTATTTTTGCTTTAAACCACCTCCCCGTACTTCCTGCAAGCCTGTTACCCTGGGGCTGCCTAGGATCCAGGCCTGGCTCCCGGGAGGCACCCCTCCTGCAGAGCCCCCACCTGGGGGGGACTGAGGATGAGGCCACTCAGCATGAAGCCCACGACTCAGGCTGGGAGGGGCTCTGGTCGATACCACCGGCCCCTCCAGCTCCAGCCTCCCCAGTCTCTGATTCCAGGAAGGCTGCAGCTCAGGGTACGGGGTGGTCCTGGGGGGCTGCCCCCAGGGCTGCTGCAAAGGGAGGCAGAAGAGCCAACCCGCTGGAAGGACAGGGCTCCCTGTCCCCACCTCACCGAGGATGGGGATGATCCTCCGGGCTCAGTTTCCCCAGCGCCCGAATGTGATGGGGGTAGGGGCAGGGGTAGGGCTGGCTGACCTAGGCTGTGGGGGGTCAGGGCTCTGGCTCTGGGATTCACTTTGAAGCCGCTGGTTGCAGGGCCCGCTGCAGGCGCTTTTGCAAACAGGAACCTGTTGAGTCCTCACGCGGACACTGGGATGCCGGGACTGTCTCTGTGCCTGGGCCGATGAGGAGGTGGAGGCACAGAGAGACCTGGGTATTTGCCTGCAGTCACACAGCAGGGACTGCTGGCCCAGGGTTCCAGCCCCACTGAGCAGCTCCAAAGGAGCGTCCGATTGCTCAGCACGAAAACTGCATGCACACCCGGGGCCTCCTCCCCACCCCACCTGGGGGCGAGGGCCTGCGCCCAGCTGGGCAGGGGTGGTGGGGAGCAGACCTCAACACCCAGGCTGGGCCGCTCATCAGAAGAACTGGCACAGCCCATCTGCAGCCGGAGCCGTCCTTCCATCCCTGTGCCTCCCTGTCCCTGACTGTGCAGTGGCGAAAGGGGCTCAGCAGCCCGAGGCCCTCCCTCCACCTCAGGCCTCGTGCGGCTTGCTGCAGATAAGAGCACTGTTCTAGGAGTCACTGTTCCTATTGTGGTGCTGTCTGTCTGGCAAACGTTTATTGGAGCTCTCAACTTGCCTGACTCGGGCCTTGGGAACACTGCAGGGACAAGACCTCCACGACCCTTGTTCTCCACGGCCTGGGGGCCGGCAAGGGCAGGGGACACCAGCATTCTTCACACGGCTGAGGTTGGGGCTCGGGCCTGCCCAGGTGCCCTGGGGCAGCATTCAAGCAGTGAGTTCCTCTGTCTGCCTCCCCTGTGGGGCTGCGGGGCAGCACTGTGGTTGCCCGGCACAAAGCGGGGGCTCTGAGTTTGCTCGGTGGACAAAGCTGAGACGGCCCCTGGGGGAGTCACAGCTGCTCTGAGCCACGCTCCCCCTCTGGCTGATAGGACCCTGGCCCCCCACTCCAGGGCTGGCCTGGCTCCCCCATGCCTGCCTGCACCCCTCCTCTGCAGCCGTGCCAGCACTCACTCGTCCCAGCCCCCATCTCAGCGACTTGGGGACGTTTCCGGAACGTGGGAGGCTCCTGGACAATTGATAATTTAATAAAGCGCCAGGCGTCCGCCGGCCCCGGGTTGGTCCTGGCGACACGTCATCGTGCTGGCCCCTCAGAAGCCGAGACTGGACGGGGACTGGTCGGCCTTGGGTTCCAGGAGAGAGGACAGGCTAGAGGGAGGGTGACATGCAGGATGCAGGGAGGGCTGGGCTGGCAGGGCCTCCCACAGCTGGCAGGAACAGGGCTCTATCTCCGGAGGGACCCTGTGGTCTCAGGAGCTGCGGGGGGCCTGGGCCTGGGCTGTCTTGGTTTCCCCATCTGTGGATTGTGTGGCGTACCCTCTCCCTTGGGCCCCCTCCCCGCCCCCCGTCACGTGTCCTGTTGTATTTCTGTCCTGGGAGCCCCACGACTACAGTTGTGTGATGTCCCTGTGTCCTCTGTGGGCATGGCCAGGGCGGGGCTGCATCCCTCCCTCTCGGGGGCCTCGGCGCCCAGATCGCTGTCCAGCGCGGGGGACGCTCAGTGAATGTGGGTCCCCGCAGTGAAGGAGCAGCCCCTCGCGGCTGCCTGGGGACTCTGCCGAGAGGACGTCCACTGCGGGCGTCTGGGCTGTGTGGCCCTCACTTTCATCAGCCACAGCTGGGATGTCAGCGGGCCCTGCCTGCCTGCCCGCGTCGGGTCGTGGAGTCAGAGACGCGCAGGGGTAACCTGGGCGATAAACCCAGCTGCGCTTACTATCGCTGCGACTGTTTATTCCGCTTCGTGGGTCGGGAACCGGGCCGCCGAGAAGTGGCCGGCAGCAAGGGGGGCTGCGGCCCTGCTCCCGTGCGCGGGGCACGGGTCGGTGGGGGCCCGCGCCAGGCCTGGCCCGCACCCCCGACGCCGGTCCGCCGGGCCCGCGAGGCCCCTCCCGGCGACGCCCCGCCGGGCCCCGGGGGCGGAGCGCGCGGCCGTACTAGGAGGAATACGGCGGCGGCGGCGGAGCTGGGCGGCTTCCCGCGGCCGCGGGTGAATGAGTCCGACTGCGCTGCCGCCGCCCGCGTCGGAGCCGGCCGCCCCGCGCAGCCCCGCGCCAGCCCCGCGCCCGGACCCCTGCGCCCGCCGGAGCGCCCGCAGCCTTGGGCCGTCGCCCGGGCGGGTGAGTCCGGGGACCCGTCCCGTTCGCGGGGGCTGCGGGGACCCCACACCCACCCGAGCCGAGTCCGTGGGGGGAGTGGGGGCTCAGCTCGCCGGCCGCCAGCCCCGGGACTCGATGCCCCTCCCTTCCCCAC